GGGCAGTATAAAGCTAAATTGTAGCTGAGTGAAAGTCAAAAACGATTATTTCATTAGGGACAAAATTTAGCTTTGAAATAGCAAGGCCCACTTATGATGCACAGAGGTACTGTCTAAGAACAAAATAATTATTAATATAGTGTTTTTTCTAATTACAAGATACTTAAAGAAAGACCGGGTTTTGTAATATGACAAAAGGGTTGATAATATTTAAGTTGAAGTGATTTTGATACACATAACCACTTCTATATTAAAGACGAGTTTTTTAAACATTTTCATTATTACTTGAATCATGTTATGCGTTAAATCTTTCTAAGAACAATTAAGTATAAGTTAGAGATTATTTGAGATTTTGATTATTTAAATGCGGCCTCTAGCGGCACAGCGGCAAGTCTGTAGGCTTAGAATACTAAAAACGGTTTCCATACTTGTGTTGGGCAGAACACAGATGGCTCATTCTGTGATTAACAAACAAGCAAAACAAAAATAAACAAATCCAAATGCGCCTTCTATCGATCGGTTTTGTGGGTACTTGTCCCTGTGTAGGTGAAGCTAAATGGTATAGTGAGTATAGTTTGAAGGTACTATGAATATGATAAATGGCGAGGTAAGCCTAGTTCTGTGAGAGTCTAAAATTGGTAAATACTTTAATTCAAAAAATAATGTATGTGAAACGTGAGATATGATATATGGATTGTAACAACGAGTATAAGTGAATTCAATGTATCTACCTTAATAGGATATCTTGTGGTTAAGCCATATGCTTGAGTATCATTCAATAATTAGCACTTTCTTTACTTAAAGAAACCTCCTTCACCCTAGAACCTGGCATGGCCTGGTATTTAGGGCACTCGACTTGCAATAAGGAGTATCCTAAGAGTTAGTGGTGGGTGACGTTGACTAGTCGCCTTCCCTCTAGTATAGATAGACCTCAAAATAGCTTTTTGGGAAAATAAAAAAAGAACAAACAAATCAGCCACTAGCCTCGCACTAGTCAACACTACGTTTTAGCAACTACAGCTGATATTGCGCTAATTTAAGTTAAGATCAATGTCTTTATAACGTAGCAGTACAAGAATGATAGTAAAAATAATATTAATTATCGTGGATAACAAAATATAAGGTAGAAGAAAACAAAATAGAAAAGGTCAAACCTGGAAAAAGAACTCTAGCAGCCATGCCCGGAAAAACGACCAAAAATAAAGGCAAAATTTTCAAATAGCCGGCCAGAATACATCCTCCTTTGGCATGACATAGATTTTTAGCCGATAGAGTGCGCTGAACAAATACCTTAAAATACAGATAACAAAAAGATGTAGAAGAAATTATAGGACAATATATTTTGATTTAAATTTATAGTTATTAGAGTAAATTTACTACTTCGTATTTGATATGCTTTATTTCAATTGATACTTATAAGGGTAAATGAACTACTTATTATTTAATGTTTTCATTTAAATTGGGGGTTACCGCAGTAAGTGTAGTACTTATTACTTAATAGTGTTTCATTTAGTTTGGTAATTATACAATTAAATCTACTATTTGTTATTTAATATGGTTTTATTTAAATTAATAGTTATGCAGGTAAATCTACTCGACTGGGATTTGAGTCTTCTATTTGAGACAAACCACTGAGCCAATATGAACATTACCAACAGATAGTCGAGTGTTACCGACAAACGGAGCGTTACGAACAGAAATTTGCTTATATATATATGTAAGTATGCTTTCACTTAAATCTATAGTTATAAAGGTAAATATATCTACTTATTATTTCATATGTTTTCCTTTAAATTTTAAGTAACCAGATTAAGTCTACTACTTATTATTCAATATGATTTAATTTAATTTAATAGTTATAGGAGTATGTCTACAACTTCTTATTTATTACTTTAAATTTGTAGTTATGGGAATAAGTTTGCTACTTATAATTTAATATAATACCTTTAAACGTAAGTCGACTAATTATACACACACACACACATTTAATTTATACATCTACAGTTGCTATGCAAAATTTAGCATGACCATTAGATAAATGCATAGCTTTAAAAAGTTGGCCATTCATTGAGATTTTGTAATTTTAGTTACCGGCGAAATCTTAAAATAGTTAAGTGTCATGTCAGATGCTATGTTTCTTTCATTTTGTCCAGTCTTTTCCGAGTGTTTCACAACATGGATGGTGTTCCATAGTGCTCTAATTTATCTTTCATATGCGATGAAAATATACAGTTAAATAAAAATAGTGACTAAAATAGCCCCCAGTGTCTCAGCAGTAGTTCTGAAATCTTATAAACATTTTTACATCTTTACCCTCCTTTTTCATGTTTTTAAATTAATCTTGGCTAGGGTAAGGGTAGCAAAATCCGATTTGGATGTTAGCATGGCGATTCAAAATTTATTGTATATATTTTATAACTTTTTCGTTTATCTACCGATAGTATTGTTGAAGCGCTACTAAGTTACCTGATCAAAACACCAGTTCCACACCGCAATAATAGTCAGTCCGAAAGTAGTGCCTGTCCAGGGGACAACTGGATCAGTTGGAGATCGAAGCAGGTGCATATAATTGTCTGGAACAGTACTGCACGATTCGTTGTCAGAGTTGAATCCCACATATGAGATGTTTGGTTGTACCGAACGAAACTTTTCTATTAGGGCTTGGTAGCCACCAACATCTTGAAAGCCTAAGACAAATACACCAAAAATAGATTTCATTTGCTCTATAGTCAATATTTCTCAACTTAGAAGAAAATAAACGCGTATTTCCTTGTAGAATAAATACAAAATGAAAACTTCTGTAATTCTAGTTTGGGAAATTTTAGTGTGAAGAAGCAATCACTTAATAATAAACTAGATATATATCCATGAACTTATTCTATTGACTCCCCAAGACTTGTACAGAGATAACCCCTGGCAACGTCTTTCTTTTTCATGCTATTTTCCTTTGAGGTTGAAAAATTCTATATCTTTCAGACTTTGCATATATTTGATATAGACAATAGTTTTGAAGCCTGAAAGTTGTGAGACTGTCGATGTTTTTCCTCCTAATTTCTTGTTCAAAGACTCGTAGAAATTAACACCATATAGTGAATAATAACTATGGAAATATATTTTATTCTACTTTGCTAACCCTCGTGTGTTTTAAAACAGAGAAAAGTTCTACCTATTTCACTAATTTACTAATGTATTTTCTGTATATTGATTTATAATTTGTAAAACAAAATTCCTATAGGACTTTTTTAACAAGCCTAATTTTAAAATTTGAACGAAAGAGTATTTTTTTTTACTTTATCCTGAAAGTATAAAATTTTGTGCAGTCTTCTAAACCAAGTATTACGTTTGTAGTTATGCAGGGAGATTTTGAGTTAATCTCGTATTTATTAAGAAACCCTCCTAATATCGGTTTGAGCCACATTTTACTACAATAAAAGCTAGGACTCAACGTAGCAAAAGCTCTACACGATGATTGAATGTTTCTTGTTTAATAGTATCTCAATCGTATAGTAGTATAGAAAATAATTAATTTACAGCTGTTGGAAAATATGATGTTTGAGTAAAGTTGAGTTACTACATATAATACATACATGTTACTACATACAATACAAGTTAGCTCAATAAGACATGTTAATTGAATAAGACATGTTACTACATATAATACAAGTTAGCTCAATAAGACATGTTACTACATATAATACATACATGTTAACTGAATAAGACATGCTACTACATACAATACAAGTTAGCTCAATAAGACATGTTACTACATATAATACATACATGTTAACTGAATAAGACATGTACTACATACAATACAAGTTAGCTCAATAAGACATGTTACTACATACAATACAAGTTAGCTCAATAAGACATGTTACTACATACAAGTTAGCTCAATAAGACATGTTACTACATACAATACATGTTAGCTCAATAAGACATGTTACTACATACAAGTTAGCTCAATAAGACATGTTACTACATACAATACAT